GGCAGGGTGCGGGGTGGAGGTCTTTGGCCGAGGATCCAGCCAGGGTCTTAACTCCCCTCTGTTTTCTGCTTTCTTTTCAGGTCACGAATCAGGTAAGCAGCTTTTATTTGAGGTAACGTTTAGTCTCTCTGCAGCCTCAGGCCCGCCTCCTTTCATTTTTTCGTGTAATAGAAGCTCCTGCTTCTCCAATGAGAGTAATGTCTTCCCCCCACATGGGTGTGTGTGTGCTCGGTCTTCAGATATTGACCAACCTCCTCGGAAAACATGGTGCCGTGTAAAGGTACTATATGAAAGGAAAAAAAAACCCACAGTAGAGGAAAAGAGGATAGATATGGTCTGGCTCTTAATGTAATATAATCTCTGATGTGTTTCAAGGTGTGTTTTAATTCATTAGTTAATGGTTAAAACATTATTGTATAGAGCAGGTGTTAGGAAGATGGGGCCAGTCTCTTCTTGGCGGTGTCTGGTGACAGACAAGAGGCAGTGGTTGCAACTTGCAAAACAGGAGGTTCAACCTAAGCATAAGGAAATATATTTTTACTGTAAGGGTAAGGGAGCACTGGAACAGGCTGCCTAGAGAGAGATTGTTGAGTCTCCACCTCTGGAGATATTCAGAACGTGTCAGGACGTGTTCCTGTGTGATTGCTGTAGCTGATCCTGCTCTGGCAGTGGAGTTGGATTAGGTGATCTTCAGAGGTCTTTTCCAACCCTGACGGTGATTCTGTAATTTATATATAATATGTAGTGATTCTGGATCTGTACGTACATGATGGCTTTGTGCACTTCTGTGAATCTACTTACACTACTGTGCAGCAGTCTCTTATTTGGCTGACTGTAAGAAATAATGTCATTTTATCATATTTGTACTTTCCTGCTTATGACAATATTTGCACGATTTGTTTTTGATGGTTTTGTTAGTGTAGTAGAATACATGCTAGAGAAAGGGAGCTTGTACTAGTCCACAAAACAATGCAAGTGCTAGATAAGCTCTAGCTGAAAGGAAATCAGTGTTAGATAAGCTCTAGCTGAAAGGAAATCGCACATGCTCCAACCCAACATCACGTTTTCACTGATAGTTTTGAGTAACTTTAATAAGCATTAGATGTCAGATGTTCATCTCAGCCAGGCTATTGATAATGTTAAGAGTGATGTTCAAATCAAAAGACTCTGAAGCTTCCATCAGTGAGATGACATTCTTAAAACTACATTGTTGCAATATTTCTGCAATAATAAATCTCTATGTGTGCAGAATGTTTTGTCGTTGTTGTTGCAGTAATATACGAAGCAGGCCTGCAGAAGAATGAAGGGTTATTTGATGCTGGGTCACTTCATATTTGCCTTTATAGTTTCCTCGGACAAATAATTTTACAATTCTTATAGTATTGCTGCAGTGGAGCAATTTGAGAAATTTTTAATCCCAGTCCTGAGTTAAAATTAACAACATTTCCTGAAAGCTTTTCTTGAATGTGTGCTATTATTTCCTTGTGCTTTAGATTTGTTTACTTTTTAGTTTTGAAATACAGAAACTAAATTCCAGTAAGCAAGAAAATAAGCATGAATAAATGACTAGTAGAAATTCCAATTCTCTAGCTTCTCATTTTCCAGATGTTGAGATGAGCTCATCATAATACAAATAAAGCCCTATCAGCTGTAAAGTAGAAATTGAGGAGGGAAAAACTGGTGACTTTTTAATCTGAATTATCTCATATCATTACATGTGTATGTTATATGGAGAAAATCCTAGAAGAACATTAACTGAGTGGTGGTATATTGAAAAAAAGTATTGAATATGAATACACCTTGCATTATTAGTCATTGTTCTTTTAATCTCATCAGTATGGTGTAAACTGTAACTACAGGGCTGTTAAGCAGGATATGAGTAACTTGTGACTATATTTAAAGCAACAATTATAGTAATTTTAGATTCAAATGAAGTTGTGAATGCATGTAAAAAATTCATATAGAGTTAATTGCAAGGACCTTTTTGTGGTACTCTGTACTGTGTTCTGTAAAATGTTCTAGAATTCTTCAGAATTAAAAAAATACTGTTGGGCCCCTAATAGCTGTAGTACATGGGTCTAGCAGTAGTTTAATACATGTATCTCTTTACACAGACATCTAGCCATGTGGTGGGGTTTTTCTTCCTATTTTTTAAAAAAATGTGTTTTATATGTTTTACTTAAGTGTTAGACTATGCTTGGAACATACTACTTCTGTTAGTGTTGATGTTATTGCTACATGCAGAAATGAACTCTCAAACCCCCGCAAAATTCCAGTCACCTCTAAAATGCGTGGATTCTTAAGTATTATAGTCAAGTAACTAGAAAGAGAATATACTAAAAGCGGATTAATTTGCTTTTAATATCTTCTTACTGTACTGTGTGTCCTCTAGGTTCAAAACGTAATTTGTAAATTTGACACTCTTGCAACCTTTTTGGTAGAAATTCAGACAATGGAGAAGAGCTGGTATTTCTCAGTTATAGGGTGTATAAAAGCTTTCTAAAATATCTTGAAAGTTTTTTTCTCTCTGAAAGCATTCATGTTATACTCTAAGTCTAGGAATTTTTAAATCCTTAGTGCATATAGGACCTCCCCTTGTGCATATGTGTTAGAATTAATTAAGGTTCTGGAAACTGGCTGGTGAGATAAACAGGAGTACTCTTTCTTAGCTTTAAAGATTTCCAATGGTCGTGACTCATTCAGAATACCACAGTCATGTATCTGTGGTCGTTTTTTTATTTATTTATTTTTTTAGGAGACAAGTCAGCATCATTAAATATACCATACAGTGCTACTTTAATTGTAACAATACTTTTTTTTTTGCCCCCCCGCCTCTGCAGTCTGATAGAATGAATTGTTAGTCCACCTCTGACACAGAAAGAGTTGATGATTCTGCATTTACAAAGCTCCACTTTGTGCACAGTGGTGACAGGGAATGGATTCTTCTCTGACCTTCAGCTGGGGGGCCCTGACATGGCCAGTGCTATCCTTCTTCCTGAATCTCACTTTCCCTGCTAATGTGAGAGAGAAAGCAAGAAAATGAGGTTTATCTGCCCGGTGTTCACTAGGTGATGTCAATTTCTTCTACCACCAAAAAGTCAGACTGCACACAGATATTTAGAGTGAAAAGATCAGACACAAGCTGATTATTCTTCGTCATGATGTTGCTGCAGTCTGGCTTGCAACCCACGACTGATTCCCTAGCAAGCATAGATAAACAAAAATAATACTGGTGGATATCTTTCTCAATCTCCCACCTTTCTTCATTCCCTTTTACCTTTCTTTGTCTCACGTATCCTAAGAAATATCCGTACTTCCTAGAAAAGGTACTCTGTCAGCTCAAGCATTTGTTACATCCAAATAAGAATAGAGCTCAAGCACTGGCTTTAGGTGATTCAGAGTTAAACTACTGTGCTTGGGTTTCTCTTGCCACATAGGGCTTGCTTTCTGGTTGTTAGTTACCTTCCAACATTATTGTCAGGCCTTTGATCCTACTTTTTTTTCTTTAAAAAAAAAAAAAATCTGTTAAGGCACTGAGAGTTGACTACATAAAGAAGTTAATTTTAGTCCATGGACACCCTTGACAGCTGTAACTTTAAAGTACAGGGGCAATAAAGATCACCAGACATAGACCAAATGGCAGAAACTGAATACAGTCAGTCTTCACCCAATTACAGAACACATTTCCTAAGGGTGTCAGGCAAATACAGACATGAATTAAGTACCTTGAGGAAAAAAACTTGACTCTTCCTAAAAGGTCTTTCCGTTTTATGTGCGCTGCAGTGCTATCACCCAAGCTTTGCCAAAAGAAAGCCCTATTGATAAAGTCATCAAAAATGCGGTGGCCACAATTCTTGAAGTTTGTTTGGTGATAGTAGTTGCAGATGAGCTACTGTGTTGGAATGAAATGGTGTGGGATGTGAAGAAACAAGAGATGTCCTTCTGAAAATTCGTAGCAGAGTGGAAACAGTGTTTACACAGGAGGAAAACTGCCTGTTATTATGAGTCTAGCCTCAAGAAAGTGGAAGACCAGGGCACAGTTTGTGTCTCTCTAAAGAGAGCAGCCCCAAAGGCTCTGTGTAAGGCAAGCAAAGGAGAAGTGTTGTGTCTGTGGCACGGCTTAGCACAGGGACAAATATGAAGGGGTTGTCGGCATCCTCTGTGATCTCTTGTTGTGCAGCTTCTGCTAGTTTAAAATATCTCAGTCTATATAGACCTCTTATTGAATCATAGAACAGTTTTGGCTGGAAGAGACCTTAAAGATCATTGAGTCCAACCTTTTCCTAGCCCGATCAACACCACTAAAACATGTACTTCAAGGCAGCATCTACCCTTCTCTTAAACACCTCCAGGGATGGTGACTCAACTACCACCTCCCTTGGCAGGCTGTTCCAGTGCCTGGCAACCCTCTCAGTAAAGAAGTTCTTCGTAATATCCACGTTGAACCTCTGAGGTTAAATAGATAATATGTTGTAAAGGGGAAATTGGAACTTCATCTGGGGTTTAGAGCATTGTGTGAATAGTTGAAAGATTTACTTAGATTGGTCTTTCTACGTTTCTCAGTAATTGAAAGCTAAGACAACCATGTATTTCATTCATCTATTTGTACTTACCTCTTCTGGCCTTTGAGTATTTTTTCTGCTCCGCTTCTTAAAATTGTGACAAGGAAACCCTTAGTGCTTGGAATGCTGGTTTAAGTGATTGAGGTGCTACAGAGTGGAAAAGGAGTGATAGTGATTCATGTGACAGGTTATCTTGTTGCGCTGCTCTCTGCACTGTCCCTTATGAGTAATTGTTTAGCTCCTAGAAACAGATCTCTGAGTGTAGATTTTTCTCACAGCATAACATCGTGCCCTATTTTGAACCGGAGGCGGGGTAGCTGCACATCTGGACTCTGGAGCATTCTACAGCTCTTGCTCACTGAGGTGGTTTCGAAAGGAGCCTGGGTCAGCCAATTAGCACGGCTTTCCGCATGATTTGCGTTGCTGCCTCTGTGATATCCTGGTTCGATATACATGGCAGTGCCTGGGCATACTAAATATTCAAGTTTTGGAACTGTTTGATGGGTATGTTAAAAATATACAAATTGTGA